CAAAAGGGCTGACTGGAAGCCTTATCCTAAGCACCAGTTCAAATGGTGTGTTGTTGCATGAGGGCGTAAACTGCCATGTGATGGCTTTTCTGCATTAATCCGCTGTTGCAAATAAGCTGCCATGTGAACTGAGTGCCCATCAACCAACACAGTTTTGTCATTTTAGTTATCACCAGTTTGGTGGTAGTGGTTAAGTGCATGGACTCTAATATGGGAGAACCAGGTTTGATTCCCCACTCCTCCACTTGCAGCTGCTGGATGACCTTGGGCAAGCCATAGTTCTGGCACAGCTGTTCTTGAAAAAGAGCAGTTTTTGTCAGAGCTCTCTCAGCCCCACCTACCTCACAGGGTGTCTGTTGTGGGGAGGGGAGGGGAAGGAGTTTGTAAGCCACTCTGGGACTCCCTTGGGTAGTGAAGGGCGGGGTATAAATCCAATCTCTTCTTCTTCTTCTTCACCATAGTTCGTGTGAACCTGGCCTCTCCATTACAGCCACCCAGCAGAGGCTCCCATTCGGCAGCTGGTCCATTCGGCAGCCATAATCTGATGAGAGGCTTACCTACGTGGGTTATCTCCAATACCTAGAGTACTTCTAGCCTACCGCCATTCATTTCGAGTGGCATTCCAGATGAGTCTGGTGGCATGTTACTGAGTAAAGCTCTCTGTGACATGTTGGTGATTCACTGAGTAAGCAGTCCTTTCTGTTAATGCCTGCTGTGTGGTGCTTTCTTGTGGTATTATAGACAGGGTGGTTTTTAGGCTTAGGACTTGCTGTGACAACAAATGAACACTTATGTGCTTGCTGACAGTAACATCACCAAGTATGCCATTTAGGATCAGGCAGTTCAGCCCTCGAATGAAATAAACTTGGAACAATCCACAGAAGGCTTCAAAAGATGCATACAAGAGCACTTTGCTGCTGTGTGCTGTGAAAGTATGCAGTGGCAAAGGGCTGTGACTCCAACTTCTACTAAACTACTAAAATTGGAATGGTTTGCTTATGCTGGATTACAGTTTTTGTTTTTAAATAAATATTTTCACTGTTGCACCCTGATACCCCTTGGTATGCATCAGGGTTGCAATACCAGGTACCATGATTCAAACTCATCTTTTGTAAGGCTAGATGTATGATGGCAACTTGATACCTTCCATCATTTTCCTCAGGGCATAACAAATTGTGCCTTTAGAAAATCCAGCTTCTATGAAGACTTCTAGTTTTCCTGGACAGCTTTTTGCAATAGGCCCGTCATCAGAACTCTGTATACATGGTGCTTTCTCCTAAATCTTTCTATGGTGCTTTATAAAATATTCTAATAAGCTACTGTCTTGGTGTATGTTATTGGAATATCATGTGTAAAACTATCTAGTTTATTCTTTCTAAAAATTACCTAGCTTTGAATATTTCTTGTTATACCCTGTTATACCCCCAGAAGATAGAATAACTCTGGGATGGGAGGTTGGAATGTCCAACTTCCCCGAAAACCAAAGGAGGTAGATATTCTGGGCTCAAGACAGACAAATTATCTCCAGTATATGTTGAGTTACTATATTGTCTAGAGGTGGTGGCCGAATCCCTGCATTCACCTGCTCCGAAGGAGACTCCAGCAGGGAAAAGCCTTTGCCCAGGTACTGCTAAGGCAGGCAATCCAATAAGAGGCTGTGAGAAAAGAAGCAAGGGTGAGGCCACGCCCAGAAATGACAACAGCTTCGGAGACTGACAGCCCTCAGATAGGAGGTGGGAACAAGACCAAGGAGGAAGCCAACAGAAGAGCGGGGGGGGGGGTGAGATCCTAGGGCCTGTGCTGGCAGCCAGAGCAGCCTCTTGAAACCTCAGGGGAGGGTGGGGCAGGAGAAAGGAAGGCCCAGCCAGGGTAACCAGTGGCCCAGATTCCCTCCCATTCAACATGGGCACACTCCTGAAGATACGGCATTGGGGGAGTCCGGGGTTAGCCTACCCCTAGACAAACATTTGTTAGGCCAGCCCGGGGAAGACCAGGGAGGAGGGTTAGACCTGTTTTATGTCAGTCAGGGAGAGGCTGAGGTGGGGAGAACAACCGTCTAGCCCCCTTTGTCTGAATTCTGAGACCCTTCCTGCGGCACAGCTGACAGGAAGATCTGGAGGGTGTGATGTCCCTGACCCCCACCCTGAGTGAGGACAAGCTGGACATATATATTTCCTGTGTTCAGAATTGTGCCATCCCAAATTCTATGTAGTAGTTCAACTTTATGACTGAATGGTGTATATGAAAGAATGATAAATGGAATGTAACCCTAAAAGAGATAAATATCTGTTGAATTCTGTTATGAGCCAACATAGGTTATACCTTCTTTGATACATGTGATGTTTTTGCAGGGCATTGGGTAGACTCGGTTTCACTGACCTGAGACCACTCTGGTTTTGCCATTTGTATTGTAAAGGGTAAGTGCAGCACTGCTGGCTGTGCTTTCCCTGTTATCATGGAGGTGTTATTCAACATAACTCCAGAAATCTGGGCTCTGGCTCAATACAGTGCAAACAGCTGATCCACCCCTCCCCCAGTGGTCTTGTGACCCCATGAACATCAAGGGGCTGGAAGTAGAGAAGCTGCAGTGAGAGGATGGATTGAGGGAACTCATTCTCTCCCTATGCCACAAGTGGAAAGAACACACAGGTCTAAACTCTGATCTGTAGCCTTACATAGCATGACTGGGAAAGATTGTGGAAAGGTTACGTGGACAATCTGGATAAACAATGTGGCTTCCTGTATGGTATCTGTATACACAGTACAATGTTCACCATATAAACAGCAAAAACAATAGGAGAGGTTACTTTATGTCGATCTTTCAAATGAAGTAATGAGTTGTCCTCTGTACCTAAAGATGTATAAAAATGCACTAGTGAATTTGACTCTGCAAGAAAAGCCCTGTGTAAAGGAAGACGGAAACATTTGCTTCACTGAAAAAGTTGACTTCCTGTGTCAATTGTGGTAAGACTCAGGTTTTCTGACCGAGTGATTGGTAGGATATAAGATACAAACGGCTGAGAACCCTGGGCTTTGGGCGGTCTTCTGATGTGATCCGGCAGGATGATGATATGATGAGTGTAATGACTGTTCCCACTTAGCCCACTTCAGTTTCCTTACACTGATGATGGTTGGGTTGGAGTACAAAGTTTGCCTAAAAATATGAGAGGATTCCCAATTTAAGAAAGGATTTATTTCTGCAGTCATAGAAATTAGGCAGGGAACAAAGGTTCTGGGGAGAAGGCCTAGAGCAGAGGTTCCCAACCTTTCTGAGCCTGCAGGCACCTTGGGCACAACCACAAAATTATTGCTGCTGCTTAACTTCAGTCATACAGTAAAGATCCCTGTGCAGTGGTGGCAGCTGCTGCCAAAGCAATATTTTCAAAAATCTGCACAGCCAATCAGAACCCTTCCTAGGCAGAGACCCACCCGCTTTCTAAAAATTCTTGGTGGGGACTAGAAAAGGTGTTAGTGGGCATCGGGTTAGGGATCCCGAGCCTAGAGGAATGATCTCTAAAAGGGAAGGGGAGGAGTGAGATGGTGTAATGTATATGTGCAAGTCATTACCTGGAATTATTTTTTGAAATAAGATTCTGTGTCAGAGCATTTACCCTCTATACCACCGAGTTATTCAGATCTCAGCCAGAACTGTTGCTTCAGTGTTTAAAAATTTCTGATGTGATGATGGTCCCAAGGCCACTCAACTTGAAATTAATAGTTTATGTGCACAAGCCTAAAAGAAAAAAAATGGCTAAAAAGGATAATTGTCATTGTGTGATCCCTGTGCAGCTGATCTCTCAAACACCCACCGACTTTAAAGATTCCTTTTATCCTTAACATCGTTTGTTGTACACACCTAAATAGTATTTCATAAGCACGTAGGTCCTGTGCTCCTTTCCGTATATTTCACGTAAGACTGAAGGATACTTTTCAAAGGCAGCTGGCTTGTCTCTTGCTGTTTACTTCCGACCATAATAAACTATTCGACTGACTGACATGAATGTAGACTTAATTCTTTTTTCATCACACTTCTATCAGCCTCTCAGGCAAACTAGACTGGATTGATGCACATTGCTTTGGGTTTGGGCAGCGCAGGGGGGGGGGGGCGAGGACATAAGAAAAATGAAACATTTAAAGCAATTGACTTTGGGTTTGGGCAGCGCAGGGTTTGGGCAGCACAGGGGGGGCGAGGACATAAGAAAAAGGAAACATTTAAAGCAATTGACTTCCATAGGCTTAGAAGGCTTAACTCCATTTAAAATTGCACAGCCCCTGGATCTTGGGGTGATGCTGCTTTCTTGCCTAACTTCAGTGAAGTTGCAGGATCCATCTTCTCAGTTACTTGGCTCTGTGTAGAAAAACAAGTTGCCAGGAGGATACAGCTACCCGTGTTTTGTAGTTAGACCAAAATAAAGATGCATGCAACACTTTATGAGTACCAGTTTGTGTGTAGTGGTAAAGTGTGCAGACTCTAACCTGGGAGAACCGGGTTTGATTCCCCACTCCTCCACTTCCAGCTGCTGGATGACCTTGGGCAAGCCATAGTTCTGTCAGAGCAGTTCTTGAAAGAGCTCTCTCTGCCCCCACCTAACTCACAGGGTGTCTGCTGTGGGGAGGAGAAGGGAAAGGAGTTTGTAAGCTGCTCTGAGACTCCGAGTGAAGGTCAGGGTATAAATCCAATCTCCTCTTCCTCTGAGATTATTCACC